TGTTTCTAATCTTCGTCTTAATTTAGTCCGAATGAATCCTTAATCTCTCTGAAAAGATGACAACTACCTCGTCATCTAAAAAACAAGTTCAAGATCAGCCTGAAACCAGCGAACCCACTTTGAAATCGCTGAGGACAAAGATGAGTAAATCCGACGAAAAGGTTTGTCTTTTTTTTTTTTTTCTCTAATTGATCGAATTTAACATAACCCAGAAGAGAAATTCCACTTACTTTGTGTTTTTGGATCAAATCTTCACCATTTCTGATACATAAGAGTATTAAAAATCATCACTTTATTTTTTGTTTTGATTGTGTGTGGCTATGTCTTTGTTTTAATTTGACAGAAGAAGCTTAAAGACATTGAGATAAGTGTTCCACTTGTCTATGGTAATGTTGCATTCTGGCTTGGCAAGAAGGCTAGCGAGTAAGTGTTCTCTGTCAATTTAGCTATATATAGGGATTTGACTTTATTATTAAGTTAGTTACCCAATTGTAAAAGTGGAAGTTCCTATTTCCTAAGTTTTTAAAAGTTCATATTTTTTTCATAAATGTCCTTTGAATTTGAAGTTTGATGTATTTTTTGTAGGTATCAATCTCACAAATGGGCTGTATATGTGCGTGGGGCAACAAATGAAGATATTAGTGTTGTAGTAAAGAAAGTGGTTTTTCAGCTTCATTCTAGTTTCAATAATCCGACCAGAGTTATCGAGGAACCGCCATTTGAGGTATCGGAATCTGGTTGGGGAGAATTCGAGATTGCAATGACATTGCATTTCCATAGTGATGTCTGTGACAAACCATTGAGTTTGTAAGTCCCGTTATTATTAGCATGTTGTTTGTAGAAAATGCGAACCGATTGGAGTGTTACTTACGCGAGTTATACTTGTTTTGGATACAAACAGATATCATCATTTAAAGTTATACCCCGAGGATGAATCAGGTCCTTTGACAATGAAGAAGCCTGTGGTTGTTGAATCTTACGATGAGATTGTATTTCCTGACCCTTCAGAGAGTTTTTTAGCGAGGGTTCAGAATCACCCGGCTTTGACGTTCCCGAGATTACCCTCTGGCTACAATTTGCCTGCTCCTAGTATGATCTTCTTATGTTTTTTCTTTAGTTGATCATGTCTTAGAATTGTCTCTCACACAACCTTATTGTTGATAGTGCAAGTTGAAGATAGTGGAAAAAAGAAGAGAGGTGATACGAAAGATCATAGTTTGGGACAATGGTTTACGAGCTTCTCTGAAGCAGATGAGTTATTACAGCTCGCGGCTGCTCGTCAACAGGTAATAATAAATAACCAAAGATGGATTAAGAAATGTATATGCATTTTTTCGGTGTACGTTTTGAATCGGTTTGTTGTTATGTTTATTCTTTGTTGGATAGGTTCAAGCGCATATTGCGAAACTCAGGCGACAAATAAGTTTGCTAGAGGGACAGAATCAGACTATTAAAACAGGGTCTGAGCTGTGAATCTGAATATGTAGCCATCTTTCATTGAATGTGAGATTGGCTTGTTGTAACCTTATTGTGTTATTAGCACACAGTTTTTTTTTTCTTTTTTTACCATTCCTTTTCTCTTTGTATTGATAAAACTTAAAACTTAAAACTTAAAATCTCTTTAGGGTTTCCTCTGTTCCAGTTTCTTATATTCTTTTTAGAATCGATATACAGTTTGGTAGGCTCTGTTTTCTGAATGATTGGTTTTTTCGGTTTATGAAAACTGAAACCAAATTAAAGTTTGTAAATTGGTTTGCTTTTGGCTTTGCTTTTATAAATTTTTGGTTCATATTCGGTTTGGTTTTGGTCAAATATACATTATATTTATTACTATATACTACTAGATTTAGATTAGATCTAGATTATAATCTGCGTGATTCGTGGTTAAAAATATTAAAGTTACTAATATAAATATCTATTTTTTTTTATCAGTTTAAAAAATAATAAGATATCTTAGATATTCTAATTCTGTTATAAACCTATTTGATTGCATGCCCAATAAAAACCTATAATCTAGAATATTCTAACTTGTTCTCCAAGTTTAAC